TTTTTTTTTTTTTTTTTTTTTACAGCTGTTTTCAGTTTGCTGTACCATTATGGGCATGACGGACGTAAACCCCATTGGTTTCCAAAGCTAAATGTTTTAGGGGCTTGTCTCTCAGGTGAAGGTGGAGTGCCCATTGTGGAGGACGAAACCTTTGCTCCCCAGGGGTAGTAAAAAGCTCCAGGTTTTGAGTTCCGTCCAGTTGTGGCAGTCATGCCAGGGTTGGAGTTTCTGGAAGGGTTGTGTTTCCACCTCTCCTACGTGCTTCAGTGTTGGGTTTTTCTTGTTTGCCTGATGTGTAGGCATCACTCTGCTTCTTTGTAGGTTTTTTTCCCAGAGGAAGCTGTTCCATATGCAGCCGTAGATTTGGTGTGTCCATGGAAGGAGGTGAGTTCAGGATCTTCCTATGATGCCATCTTGAAGTGGAGCCCGCCTTTCTCCTTAGGGAGTATTGGCCACTGTGCTAAAGTGCCAACTTCTCTTCTGAAGGCGCTGGGCTGAACATGACGGGGAGAACAGAAAAGACAGGCTCCTGGACCTCACAGAACTTACAGGTTAGCAGGGGAAAATGGATATTAATGATTGCATAATTGAATGACAGAATTGTGACTTCTGTGAAGGGGTACTAAGTAAACAGCTATCTAATAGGAGGTGACAACCTAGTAGGGGGTTGCAGTGGGGTGGGGGGTTTCAATGAGCTCGTTGGAGGCCCAAGGCAGTGATTCAAAAGCTCTGGGACGCAGGCACGTCCAAGGACTTGTGTCCACCTTGGTGCCTCTGTTTGTACATCTCTTTGCCTTCTATCATCACTTGCCATGGTCTCCCACCAAACTTCTTCACATCCTGATTCCATGAATGGCTCCTGAATACTCTCTGAATTTCAGCCTCAAAGTTTTAGGAGACCGGCAAATTCATAGGCTCCTGCAGACCTGGGTATACATTTCCCTTGGGTGAAGCGTCAGCCCTGATTCAAGAAACTGAAATGCAGGGTGAGGGTGAAGTGTTAAAAAATATGGAAAAGCTCTGGTAATGAGCATTCATTCATTCAACGAGTACTCAACGTGCCAGATGTTGGGGAGGGTATGGCCTGGGCTGCGTGCTCAGGAACTCGTAGTTTATCAGGGAACACACTAATAAATAGGCGTAGGTGCTAGAAGGTGTGAAAACACGAGGGCCCACTGAGCCTTTCCCAAGGAGGAGAGGCCTGAATGGTAGCCGGAGAGTTGAGTCAGTCAGCCGGGGGAATGCAGGTTGGGCCCACGCGGGTGGCTTGCCAGGGGGACTTGTAGGACGGCGGGGGGAGGCAGTATGTAGCACAAAAGGGACTTCCTGGGAGCCTGAACGGCTGAGCAGAGATAGGTTTCTGTGCTGGAGTCAAGGGTGAAGGCGTGGATGGTGAGAGAGGCAGCCACGCAGAGCTTGGAAGGTGGGATTGAGCAATGCTTCTCAGATTTTGACATGCATCAGAATCACCTGGAAGGCTCCTTGAAGCAGATTGCTGTGTCCCGCCTCCAGTTTCAGATTCAGTCGGTGCGCATCAGAAGGTGCATTGCCGTCAAGTTCCCCGGGAGATACTGGTCCAGAGACCACATTTAGAGAAGCACTGGACTGAAGGCTGAGAGTCAGGGGACCGGCCAGGAGCTCTTGCGGGTGTCCAGAAGTGAAGGGCAGTGCCAGAAGAGAAAGGGTTTTATCGAGGACCAGCCACCGTGCCAATCTCTTTACATATAACCTCCGTGCTTTCAACAATTCTCAAATGTCATTGGGATTCTAAAGGAAGCGCCGAGAGGCAAAATTCTGTACCCATGGTCAGTAAGTGTGCCTAGGCTAAGACCCAAAGCCTTTTGTCAGCCACACTGGAACTGAGTGGCGATGGCATGGTGGCAGGGGCCGCAGCAAGGTAAGGGAGACAGAAACCTCACGTGACTTCCGGCTTTCTGATTTGGGCAACGGGGCGATAGATGTCCTTGCCTAGACTATGTTCATTTTGAGACTAGCGTGTTGTGCTTTGTGGGCAAATACAGATGTCCAGTAGACAACTGGATTCACGGGTCTGGGGGCTCAGAAGAGAGGAAAGCATTGTGGGTGTTGTGTTGTGAAACACACAAGAATAGGAAGCGGGCAGAGGGAAAGGCATGGGGACCCCCCCTGAGGAAACGAACAGCCAAGGAGCAGGTGAGGAGGAGGCAGAAGGCTAAGGAGTGGGCAGCCATGATGATGGTAGAGATGATGGGTCCGGTTTGGGCAAGGGGGTGATGGAGACACAGGTGCTGTAGAAGCCAAGGACCGGGAATCAGGTCAGAGACGACAGTTATCAGTGGACTGGTGTTATTAACAGGAGCCGGGAGGCGGCGGAGGGATGATTAGGTGAGCGAGTAGAGGGAGGAGGCTGGTCAGGATGGCTGTGTCGCAGATTTGTGGGGGTGCACCGTCTCTGGGGTCAGCATCCCTCAGCTGTTTCCTTGTTCTGGAGCCATACTTAGCCACTACCGAGAGGGCTAAAGTGAGAATTGGAGTGCAAAGCAGAAATGAGCCCAGGCGTTGAGTCTTTTAGAAAGCTTGGAGACATCTGACCCATCAGGAGGCCTGGTTCTGGTACCAGTTTTACCCGTCACTTAGCTGCTTCCTCTGGAGCAAACTTTTGGCTGTACAACTGGTTATTCAGTGATTGTCCGAAGGTGGAAATGTTCTGGTGGGAAGGGGGTGGGAGGTTCGGAGACTCTCCTTGTCCTGCCCCACCCTTCCACCAGGTGTTTCGAAGTCGAGGGCCGCTTAGAGCGGTGAGAAGCCTGGCCTGGAATCTCCCTGGGGTCACCCCACCCCCTGACCCTGACTCTACCGTGTCAGGCTGCTTCCAGCTCTTTGGGAGTACCCATGACCTTCGTTGTAGTGGTGTTGGGTTCACTGGTCAACCCTCCAGGGGTGCCAGAGAGCAGACACAGGGGCAGTAGGGGTGGGGACAGCAAATCTGACAGGGCTGTGCCGGTTGAAGCATGGGGAGGGGGTTGGGTGCTCATGAGGGCCATCGTAGCAGTGAAGGGCAAGGTGTCCTCGAGTGGCCAGTTACCACCCGTCTCCTGGACTCATAATCCTGAGTACTTTGGTAGCTTCATCCTAGTTTCCATGTTGGGCGAGCAGATGGCTATTTTGAAAGATGATTTGCTGGGGCATCTGATAGGCTCAGTGGAGTATCGACTTGATTTCGGCTCAGGTCACGATTCTGGGGTGGCGGGATTGAGGTCTGCGTTGGGCTCCGCGCTGAACTTGGAGCTTGTCTCTCTCCCTCCCCCCGCCCCCCACCACCCCACTCACACTCTCTCTAAAAGCAAAAAATTAAAAACTGACTTGCTTACAAGTGCAGAGATCATCCCAGGGGAAAGTGTCCCCGAGAGAGGAGGTTAGAACTGGTTAGACTAAGGTCAGCCCTCCCAGTTCCTCCAGCTGGAGAGGGGACAGCCGATGACAGCCAGTATGCGGGAATTCGCTGGTTCCCTTCCTCTCCCATCGGTACAGCTTGGAAGTGAGCTGCAGTCAAGAGGCATGAGCAATGCCTTAAGCTTTCAGAGAGAAAAAAAAAATACTTGAACTCCTTCTCTGCCTGCCTGTCGACGTACTCGGGTGCCAGAAGTAAGACTCTATTGTATCTGCTTGAAGCAGGGACAGCCTTGGAGCATGGCTAGGTGACAGCAGGCACACTGGAGTGCTGAGCCCTGAGACCGAGGGCTGGGGGGAAGGGAGGGGGGTTACACTCACGCTTTGAGAACAGGTGTTCTCAGACTTGACCCTGATGTAAACAGGTCTCTCTTACCTTTTTCTTTAAGTGCCTTCTGGCACCTAAGCTCTTTCTGCAATGGAGCTGTCTGATGCTACATTAGGAACGAGCTATGTGATAGGGAAGCGCTTTGTGATACACGGGCCACGAGACCGTGTAGGCCTACTTCTCAGACCTTGGTCTAGAGACGCTGGAGGCTGCCGTGGTGGGGACCCGGGGGCTGTGCCAGCTTGACAAGAGGGTATGGTACTAAGGCACTGAATCCTTCACAGGACATGTGCCTCCGTCAAGGAGCAGATGTGAGACAGCTGGAGTTGCAGCCACACCACTCACCCTGAGGTAGGTCCACAAATGTATCTACTCAGAACAAAAGAGCCAGGGCACAAAGTTACCCCTCAACAGTTCTCAAACTTGAATGGGACTCAGAATCGCCTAGAGAGCTTTTATACAACCAGAGGACTGGTTAGCTTTGGTTCAGGGGGGGTCTGGGTTTGCCGTGCCAACAAGTTCCGGGCTGTTGAAGCAGCCAGTACAGGGATGCACGCAGAGGACCACACTCTGACATCAGGGCCACGAAGGTGATGAGGGCACAAGATCGATTCCGTTATAATAGCCATCTTTATTTGTAAAAATCCAGATATAAAATGTATTCTTTCAGTCTTTCCAAGTTTTCCTTTTTACAAAAACAAAAAGGCACATAAAAACCTTCCCCGCTGTCATTCCCATAGACGGTGTTTGTCAGGCAGCCCTCCCCCCTCCCCCCCCCCGTATAGCTACATGCTTCATTCCGGGACGTCTCGCTTCCCCCACATGCTTCGGTGCTTTCCTACCAGGGTAGAGTTCCGAATTCCAAGACTGAAGTACACAAAGAGGGCGTGGGGGGTGGGTGCAGGTGCGTGGTAGGATGCTCCACGGCGTGCAGGACACGGGGGGGCCTAGTAGTAGGTTTCCTTCTCTACCCAGCCTATAGGCAGCAAAGAGAGACAAGACACTTGCAGCAAGTCCTGGCTCTAGGGCACAGTGGGAGAAAGAGTGTCGAGGAGTGACCTGGGGGTGGGTGACGAAGCTCAGGGTCGGGGGTGGGGGTGGGGGGGGTCACTCAAATTCGGCATTAGACCTCAACTCTCTTTCTTTGTTTTTAGAAAGAACATGTTAATTGGGAAGATGGTTTAGGTTTCTGCCCAACTTTCCACTGGATCGTATTTGGTTTGTAGTCTAAAATACGATCGGTTCTGAAACCTCAATGGAGATCGTGAGGATGGGACTGTAGCGTTGGGCAGTTGGCTGGTCCAATGGCCTGGGCCGAGCCCAGACACTTCAGAGGAAATAAAAGACACAGAAATACCACCTCTCCCACAACCCTGCTGAAGGTAAGATGAAATTACCGCCAGGGCGTCGCCTGATGATGAGTTTTCGGACTTCGTCGTACACGAAGATGAGAAGAGAGTAGGGGAAGGCACAGAACCACCAGGTAGGTCTGGAAATAGAATCAGGTACTAATTTATACATGAACACAAGTCAAAGGAAAGAGAAACCACATATCACCCAGGACAGTGGAATAGCCTGGAAGGAGGAACCAAGTATAATCATGGTTAACTATTGAGCCATTAGCACAGAACACACAGAAAGGTCTTAAGAACAGAATGCTGCTCCCTGCACCCAGGGCCTGGAGAGGCTCAGGAAACCAGACTGCAGACTTTATGAAGGAATCCCCTTTTACAAGTTTGGTTTATAGGGTAAGTTGAGATTTTCTGTTGACCATCCCCCAGCAAATGGGCATTTACTTTCTTCCCCTTTCTAAAGCGTTTGAGGAACTTGAGTGTGGTATATATACATTATATCTAACGTCCTGGCATCTGAAGATAAAGCACTGCCAGAGTAGATCAGAACCATGTATCCATCCCTTGAATTCAGTCAGCTGGGTGCTGAATCCCAGTGCCAGGGAATGAAAAAAGCTGAGCCCTAATAGAGAACAGAGCTTTGGGAGCCCAGCGGCTGCTGCCACATCCCCAGCCTGGAGACCGGCACCCTGGACAGCCCTGTCAAGGGCCATGCTTTCCTGACTACCAACTTCTGCAGTCAACAGAGGAAGGCGTTCCCAGGGCAGAAGCCTGGCAATCTCTTCTGCCTGGCGCTAGAGGTCTTCCTCCACAGCTAAGAGATGATCTCCTTTGGCTCGGTCGCCCAGAGTAACTGAACCACCTTCCTAATTGGGTAGAACCTGTTGGGAACAAACTCTGTAGGCACAGCAAAGGAGGTCCTGAGGCCCTACTCTATTTCAGTGTGACTCTCCACTTCAGGCTTTGAGAGAGCTCGGTGGTTCTCCTGGCCTCCTCTTGACAAACAGTGGGCTCAAGCAGACAAAATTCCCCTCGGACAAGGCCTGCCCCTGTTGTACGCCAGCTCTGTGCAGGGTGCTGGGGATGCGAAGTCAAACAAGATAGCCCATGCCTTAAAGATTACAATCTAGGGAGGAGTAGACGTGACCAGTAATACCAAAGAAGGGGTGTACCTGCACATGTCTGAGGGGGGTGAGCTCCAGGGCAATCAGCCCTGAAGGATTACCCAGACCGATGGGGTGGAGGAGGGGCGGGGAATATCCTGACCAAGTACATGTGCAGGGGAAGAGAGTATTGAATTCACCTACAGAAACTTCCATGGCTACAAGAATGGCTACAAGAGAAGGCTAGAAAGACCACTTAGACGCTAGTGAGACAGACCCTAGACGCCAGGCCAGCCTTGCACCGAGGATGTCTGCAGTGACAAGATGTCAATGAGGCCCATGGGGCTTGGCTGGGGTCAATGGAAGGAAGTGTCAGCTACAAGCCAGGTGGGATGGGTCTGAGAGAGGCTGGGGAGACTTCGACATCAAAAGCTCATGTTGTACAGGGGCCACATTCTGTGCCTTAGCATCTTTTCATCAAATGCAGTCGCTTAACCTCAACCAGTGAGTAGACCCCACCCAACACCCTCTGTTTCTAAAAGTACCAGAATTTGGACTTCTGATAAACCCGAATTTTTCACATACGGGGGTTTACCACAAAGTCCTTCACTGTGTTTTAAAAAGGCCAGTTTGGTTCTGAGCAAAGACCAGCGGTCAGCTTTCTTTGGTCCCCTCCCCCCGTGATCCACCTCAAGCTCACTTCTCCCACCTCCTTCCTGGGAAAGCAGAGGATTCAGAGGCCCACAACGGCTGGGGCCTGTGGTGGGAACACACAGGGGCTAGGGAAAGCAAATCAAGAGCTGAACCTGATCCCCAAACCCCAGGGCACATCTGGTCCACCTCTAATGACAACTGGACTGGCGCCATGGGGCACGCAAGCACTCACGCGGTTGGCCGGTGAGCGATCTGGTACCGTGGTACCAGATCCCGTTTAGCCAAAGCCTGAGCACTGGCCAGTCCTTCCTAATTTCCAGTCCAGAGGAATTCTGGACCAATTCCTAACAATAGTAGCTACTGGCACACGTCACGAGAGGAAACGCTCCACGTCTATCTCGCACTTTGTGGAGCTGGAAGAGGAGCGACTTACTTGAGGGGGTACATCCTCAGGGCCACGCCCATTCCAGGGCAGTAGGAAAGGAAGGCAGCAAGGGCCGTCTCTTCAAAGAGGCCGAATATTAAGATCTTGTTCCTAAAGAATCAAGGGGAGAGAAAGCTTAAGGACACAAACAGAAGTTTATCTTCGAAAGCCATCCACGCGTCAAAGGGCAGATCGAGGTCTCTGTGTAGGAGCTATACTCCGGAACATGAGGGCAGATGAAAAAAAAAGAAGATCACAATTTGCTTCCTAAATCTCCAAAAGCGAGATTCCAGAAACTGCCATGTGTCAGGTGCCGGGGTTTTGCACAGAGTTGAGAAATCCCCAGACCCCTTGGGTGAGGGCCCCGAGCGTTCCCTACTCACTTCATCCCCTGCTGGAAGACGGAGTTCCTCCGGGTCTTACAGATGACCAGGTCAGCCCACTGCACCACCACGATGCTGACGAAGAAGGCCGTGTGGCAAGTGAACTCCACGATCTTCCTCTGTTCGTACGTCTGGGACACGGAAGGCAGCCAGGTAAGCTTGGCCCGTGGCCCGCACGGCTGGTGGCTGAGTGGCCACCGTCCCTCCCGGGGGCTGGAGGGTCCTCCCACTGGCCAGACCCGTGCTCACCCACTGCTGCCCGTAGCTGTCCTCTACGTCGTTGATCCAGCGGTCATCCCAGTCCACGCGGAGCCCCAGCAGGTGGGTCGGGAGGAAGCCGTTCTCAGCCAGGATCACGAAGTAAGTGAAGAAGCCTCCCAGCGCCTGGATCATCCCTGCAAGTGCGGAAAAACGCCTTTAACCTGGTCTGGGGCATCTGCACGCACTTCACCTGACTGCCTTCAGGGCGGTCTTGGTCACCAGTTGACAGATGACAGGGAGTATGGAGGACCACAGGGACACATCCCTCACCCAGCGCCCTCTTCTCTTTTTGAGTCACTTTTCAGAGCTTTAAAAGACGACACACAGGTCTCACTCGGAGACATGTGGCCCCCCGGCTCTGACTTCACCATCTGCCTCTACCAGGGCACAGCCTTTCAGGGGAAAATGCTTCCCTATGTTTTAATCTCTGCTACACGGAAACTTCTTTCCCCATCTCCTTTTCCCACATTTGAAATAGTGAACGGGGCACTTTCTGACCCAACCCTCCCCCTCCTTCCTTTTCAGGGCCCTTCGCTTCTCCCCTGGCATCTGGTCTCGCCACACTGTCCTGAATTCCCCAGGGCACGTTTCCTCCTATGCTCCGGACCTCCTTAAAATGAGGTCTCCGAGACCACCTGTTAGCCCCACCGGTGGAGCAGAGATCAAGCCCGGTGCGGGGTCACCATGTGGTGGTGACTAGCCAGCCAAACTTTCAAGCTCATGCAACTTCGTCAAAGCCTAACTCTCTATCCAAATCCATGGCCAGTACTACGTACCCCCGGGAACGACTGCCTCTGAATGACCTGTGCCTGGCGAGCTGAGGGACCGCCGAGCCCAGGCTGAAGAACTACGGTTTCCACTAAGAAGTAACTGGGCAGACAGCAGAAGATTTCTTCTCACTCAAGAGGATTTTGTACAAAAAGCTCCCCTGAGTCTCACACTGTTTCCTGGCTCTTGCTAGATCTGAAGTCCTCCAAAGCAAGCCCCTAGGCTGCCCCCACCACGACAGACGCTCCCTGCTCAGTGCCGGTGTCCGGGGACAGTGGCTCACCGATCTGCCCGTAGGCCATGCTGATCAGCCGCTCGTTCACAAGCTTGTCCGTCTTGGGGTTTCTGGGCTGTCTCTTCATGATGTCGCTCTCAGCTTGCTCGTAAGCCAGGGAGATGGCAGGAACCTGGGGGGGGGGGGGG